CCCACACTCATGCACTTTTTCTCACTCTCTTTTAAAATAAACAAACATTAAAAAAGAAAAAGAAAGAAAGATAGATGTTGGAGGGAGCTGTTATGGGAGGTTACGAGGAAAAGAACTATAAACAAGGATAAGGTTGGTTAGGCAGATTTAAGTCTGATTTGCAGTCAGTGCCTTCTGTTAATAAGAGTTTCTTTATGGTTTAGAGTCAATCTTCTCATCCTGGTTCAGGGAGGGAGACACAAACGGAGATTTCCTTTATAAATGTAAATGTCTCTTACAAAAGAGTAACTTCTGTTTCCAAAGCTTCTCCTGTGTCTGCTGTTTTTTAAAAGAATCAGCTCAAAATAATCCTTATGCCAAAGAGGCATTTTCTGGGATGGCATATTCTCCCCTTCAGAAATATGCAGGGATGGGATGAGTTCTGCAAAGCAAGTAAGTAAGTAACTATTATAGAGCAAAAGTGTAGAAAACCCCTAAAAGTTCTGTCCTTAAAGGGAGCTTTTCCAGCATATTGTTCCTTGTTCTTGATTAGGGAGATAAGACCAAGATGTTGCAACCCAAGAGGTTTCAAGTATGTCCCATGGGGCAACACTGTTTCCACAGTGAAACAGTTGATGCACACTTCTGTTGATAACTTTTCTGGTTCTAGTTCCACAATGGAATTACAGCAGACTTTCAATTGATAATAATTTGGTTGCTTATATAACCTGACTACTTTGAGAGAATGGGTGAATATTCCAATCCACAGAACAGCTATACATCACAATTTACTAATATAAATTAATAAATTGGTATTATGCTTTTTGTTTGTTTGTTTTTTACTCCCATTTCACATAAATCTCAGTCTGATTCTCTCCAGGAATTAAATAGAATGGTGTCTTCCAGAGAAGGGGCGGATTCCAGAACAATGCCTTTCAATTTGAAAGTTCATTCAAATCACTTGGAGATCTTGTTAAAATGCCTATTCTAATTCAGTAGATTCCAGGGGATGCCTAGGCTGTTGCTCCACATTTTCAATAACAAGTTCTTACAATATAATAACATAATGAATATCCCTGCCCAAACATCTCCCTAGCTTCAATCAGCATTCCCTACACCAGTGGAGATTTAAACATATATATCAATGTTCTCGAAAACAGTTCAATCTGTGGAGAATGGGCTGTAGGGTTTTCCGTGTGATTCTAAAGTGAAACTAGGGCTGTAAATCATTGTTGCTGCCCAAAGAGTTACATTTTACCACTTTTTACATGAAAATTTGAGATTAATGAAGCTAAATACTCTTTAAGACTTAATGATAGTGAAAGTTGTTAAATAAAATTCTCTCTATAGCATTCAAAAACCTAACCCCAAAATACTGCTTTAATTTGATTTATTCAACAAAATATTTCAACAAAATAACTTCTATTTTTAAAAGAAAAATAGACACTGGGAGGCGTTAGAATAAATTAAATTTTAATTGCTCACCTTTCTCTCTGCCATTTTATATTTATTCACTGAATGCAAGAATAGATCATGAAAGAGTTCTGAGAAAATACATTCTGGAAGAGGGTGGAAATCAGATATAAGTTCTAGCTGGATACAGTATTAAAACTTTAATTATCAGAACAACTATCTATCAGGAAGATGCCAGAAAATGTGGGTCATCATATTGATTTAATCAAATAGGGGGCGTTTTTTATTTGCTATAGATCAAAAGTAGTTAATACTTAGACTGTTCTGTTCAGTTGTGCTGTCTGTCATTTCATTGGTTTCTCAGTTATCGTATTTTTCCATTCGTTGTTATGTCCTTTCCATTTGCAAAGCATTTTAGCATTAGAATGTATCTTTTATAAGTTGTTGTCCGGTGCATTTAAAGTATAGAAATGTTTCCTGAGATTTTTTTTTTATCTTAAAAAAGATATACCCATAGTGGAAGAAACTGAATCTAATAGGTAGATGGACTTAGAGGAGCAGGCAGTGGAGTCTGTAATACCATTTTACTGAGGACTAACATTTTCATGTGCCTTGTGTTTTAAGATAATCATTGAGTTTTTTGAGTATTCCCGACAGAGTTCATGAATAGTCAAAAAGATATACTGATAGAATTAAAAAAAAGATATTTCCTGGGGCACCTGGATGGCTCAGTCAGTTAAGCATCTGACTTCAG